ACACTCCTCGCTTGCTTGAAACACCTCCATTGGACTCCTGTGTTTACATCTGCAACATAATGACATCACTATGTATCAATCGCACTTCTATTGGCTAGCGCTCCAACACATTGTAAGTGTTTGGCTAAGGAGCGGGACATCTCAAAGTGGTTGACCAATCACAACAGAGCCGACCAGCTAACCAATCAGAGCAGACTGGGCTCTTTAAAGTAGAGACACTACATACTGATATACACCTGAACATCAGCAGGAGAGGACTCTTTAAAGTAGAGACACTACACACTGATATACACCTGAACATCAGCAGGAGAGGACTCTTTAAAGTAGAGACACTACATACTGATATACACCTGAACATCAGCAGGAGAGGACTCTTTAAAGTAGAGACACTACATACTGATATACACCTGAACATCAGCAGGAGAGGACTCTTTAAAGTAGAGACACTACACACTGATATACACCTGAACATCAGCAGGAGAGGACTCTTTAAAGTAGAGACACTACATACTGATATACACCTGAACATCAGCAGGAGAGGACTCTTTAAAGTAGAGACACTACATACTGATATACACCTGAACATCAGCAGGAGAGGACTCTTTAAAGTAGAGACACTACATACTGATATACACCTGAACATCAGCAGAAGAGGACTCTTTAAAGTAGAGACACTACATACTGATATACACCTGAACATCAGCAGGAGAGGACTCTTTAAAGTAGAGACACTACATACTGATATACACCTGAACATCAGCAGGAGAGGACTCTTTAAAGTAGAGACACTGCATACTGATATACACCTGAACATCAGCAGGAGAGGACTCTTTAAAGTAGAGACACTACATACTGATATACACCTGAACATCAGCAGGAGAGGACTCTTTAAAGTAGAGACACTACATACTGATATACACCTGAACATCAGCAGGAGAGGACTCTTTAAACTAGAGACACTACATACTGATATACACCTGAACATCAGCAGGAGAGGACTCTTTAAAGTAGAGACACTACATACTGATATACACCTGAACATCAGCAGGAGAGGACTCTTTAAAGTAGAGACAATACATACTGATATACACCTGAACATCAGCAGGAGAGGACTCTTTAAAGTAGAGACACTACATACTGATATACACCTGAACATCAGCAGGAGAGGACTCTTTAAAGTAGAGACACTACATACTGATATACACCTGAACATCAGCAGGAGAGGACTCTTTAAAGTAGAGACACTACATACTGATATACACCTGAACATCAGCAGGAGAGGACTCTTTAAAGTAGAGACACTACATACTGATATACACCTGAACATCAGCAGGAGAGGACTCTTTAAACTAGAGACACTACATACTGATATACACCTGAACATCAGCAGGAGAGGACTCTTTAAAGTAGAGACACTACATACTGATATACACCTGAACATCAGCAGGAGAGGACTCTTTAAACTAGAGACACTACATACTGATATACACCTGAACATCAGCAGGAGAGAACTCTTTAAAGTAGAGACACTACATACTGATATACACCTGCACATCAGCAGGAGAGAACTCTTTAAAGTAGAGACACTACATACTGATATACACCTGAACATCAGCAGGAGAGGACTCTTTAAAGTAGAGACAGTACATACTGATATACACCTGAACATCAGCAGGAGAGGACTCTTTAAAGTAGAGATAGTACATACTGATATACACCTGACAATGAGTTTAAAGACATAAAAAGATCAGCGTTTCTTGGAAAGTTTGAAAAGGAAAATGTTAATCATAAATTCATGCAATGAATTCAAGCTGAGATACATCTTAGCCACTTTAAGGCATGAACAGATTTCTAATAACGTAATTTTGATGAACAGAGGTGAGTGTTAGGGTTTTATCAATGCAAGCAGAGGAACTTTAGACCATCGAAGGAATCAGTATGCCTCAAAATAAATAGGTCATACAATGTGTAGTCAGACCACATTTTAAAAAGTGTTCATTCATGGTGTTGCAAAGCCGGTTCTCACTTCCACATCAGACCAGTGAATACTCTAATTATCAGTTTGTCAGATTTCACTACAATCAACACTTTGTCTGGGGTTTAGTGAGGCCTCTGATATCTCATAATAGTTTAATCTAAGAGAAAACACTGACTACATCTGACATGAAACAGCCAGATTCAAAGATTTCAGCATGAAGTATCATCTATCAGCGACGGTAGTGTTACACTAAGCTGCTGTATCAGCCTGTAAAAACTCCTGTATCAGTCAAATTGTACCTGGTGTGGACAGGACTGTGATTTATTTCCCAACACTAAAGGTAAGAGGAGACGAGGCGCTGAGGAAGCACGTCTCAACTTTTGCCGGTTTGAACTATGTTTGGTACGGAGCAGCCAGCAGGGGGGGGGTCTGCAGGAGAAGTAGGACACGTATGACACCGTGTAATCCAATCCAAGGCTCTAAGGAGAGGCAAGACCCGCATGTGCTCAAAGTGTTGACACACACACACACATTTTTGGCCCGACTTTGTTGTTGTTTCTTGTTTTCATTGCAGTGAGTGTGAGTAGATTATTTAATGTATTTAGAAGTATCTGTATTTGACTGCGGAGAAGAACTTTGAATTGTTCACATTTCCAACTACCGTAAAAAGGAATGCTATTTTGACTTGACTAAATGTTTTAAACATGATTTTAGCCGTTTTCTTTCAGATGAAAGTATCTCTACATAGACAAGAATTACATGGAAACTTTTTAAGATTTAGGAATACAATTTTGTGTGTTGCATTTTCAAGGGAAAACACATTTACTTTACGTTGCTGAGCCACACTTTCTCCATTAAATGAGTCCATGTCGAGCACCCTTTCACCCAAAACTGCTATCAAATCATAAATAAACTCTCTAATTTCACAACAAGATCGGATGTCTGCCGCACTCTAAATAATGACTGACCCAGAAATGATTGTAGTTTTATAAATTGAGAAAAACAAAAATATCAGATGTCAGCAAAACTTTCTATGGAGGTCTTGTGTTCTTTTACCAGTAACTGGAATACAATACATGAACCCAAGAGGAGCAGAGCTGATGTTGGATTAACAAAACTGTCTACATTTGAGAGGAGAATTACGTTAACGCAACATTATGGATCATACGTTTAGAGAAGATGTTTCATGTTTTTTTCATCTGATGTCCTCTGGCTGCTCTGCCTCAACTCTCATTGCATGGGGAGTGTTGGGAACATACTGAATGTTCCTTCTGTATCAGAGTAGCCCATGATAACAGAGGCGTGTGTGCGTAGCCGGATGTATGACTACATGGATGACGCTCATGAGACACTGTGTTGAAGTTATGATAGCTATGTTCCTAAGACTGGCATGATGACACAGCATCTAGAGGGATAGACATATGACTGCCCTAGCTAAACTTAACTAATGTCAGAATACTGCTTTGAACCGGTATTCTTGCATTTTGTTGACTGTAACACCCTCTCTTGTATATAAGCATCTGAAAGACACTGTTCTGGGAACTATTTGTCCCATGCAGCCTCTGTGTGTGATGACTACTTCCATTCTTGCAAGGATCATAAATACATGTATCCTGATATTGAAGATCAAGCCGGTGATGAGTGTGGGGGAAACTTCTGAAGCAATTGGAGTCAGGACTCAAATGCCCCTTTCACACCAACACGTTTTCAGCTCCGGCTCGGAGCTGGAGCTGAAAAGTACCGTTTTTTTCCTGTTCACACCGCAGAGGCGCCGCCTCTTAGCTCCGGAATCCAGTTCACTTCCAGCTCCAAAGAATTGTCGGTCTAGAGGCAAGAGCTTCGGAGCTAAGAGGCGGCGTCGCTTACGTCTCTCTTACGTCGAGGCGGGGGCAGGGGCAGATTCGTCGTTGAAGTAGATGCTGAAGACCACAAAGAAGTCTTGTATTTCGCATGTGATGTTTGTAAAGTTCCAAGTAAAGTCGTCCCTTGTAAAGTCGTCCCTTGTAAAGTCGCCCGATGCCTTCCATTTCGTTTCGTAAGAGGATAACCAAAGCGAACAGCGCTTCAATACAATCGGCCGTTGTTGTTGTTGTCGATGTGAGGGATTTCCGCGCGGTTTGGAATTTATGAAGCAGGCACGTAAACGGTGACGTCATGACGCAGCAGCGGCAGCTCTGGGCGGTGTGAACAGAGCGGGAGCAGAAAAGGGAAACCGGAGCTGAACCAGAAAAGCTCCCGCTCGGAGCTAGAAAGGGAAAAGCGCTGATGTGAAAGCCGCAAAAGAGAGACACGATGGAGAGCTGGAGCTTTGACGGCAAACACTGACGGTTTATTTGGAGCTTCGGCCGGAGAATTCACAAGACATGTCTCGGGCCACGGTTTGACCACACGGTTGAGATGCCACAATCAATTCTGAAGAACTCTACCCCAGACCCGTGTATTTAGCTAGTTCTGAGAGAATAATCAATATTGTGGATAACAAGATAGAATCCTAACACCTCTATCAGCTGACGCCAACAGGCAGGAACAGGGAGACAAAACACTGAGAGCACAGCAGCCCAGGTTACAGGTGTGCTGAGTCAGGACAGCATGAACTGATCAACTGGGTCAAAGTTATGGGCCTTGGAAAATATTTCCCCAACAACGAGTGATATTTTTCTAACAGGGAGTTTACCGATTGACAGGAAGCCTAACTTGTTGCTAAAGTAGCTCAAAGCTAAAATGCAGATTATTCAGAAATAAAGAGTATAGCTCATGGCTGATGGTGTTTTACTGTGAGGGCGTTCACTGGAACCTGGTGACCTGATAGCGAAACAGGATTACAGGAGGTGTTTGGGTCTGACTGTGTGTGTGAGCTTAGAGCACAATGGGATTATAAAGTGCAGACTCTCCAGACGCTCACTACGGCAGAGTGAAATATGAGGGTTTTTTGATAATAATAACCAGGCAGATCTGGTTGGTTACTTATATAAAAAATGTGAATTTAGAATTTCACAATGCATTTAATCACACACACACTTACCCGTCTGTCTGAAGTCACCAGTCTGAATTCTTGCTGGAGTTTTGCACAGATGGATCTGTGCGTCTTCCTGAATGGATGAATGGTGCCCTGCAAATGAAAACAAAATGAGTATGAAATATTTAAACAAACTTTGTATTGTGATTTGATAAAGCTATAGTGTGCAGACAAATAAAAGGTTGGCTAAAATAATTGTACGGTTGTACCATTTAAATGAGTACAATCAAGTTGGTTGAACTGTGAAAGTAAAGCAGAGGAGCTAAAGAGTGAGCTGCACTGCCACCATGTGGTGAGTCACTGTATAAAACTTTTCCACAAATGTTTTATGGAACTTCCAAAGTCACTCAAATGTGGTTTTATATTTCTCACACACAATCAGGGTTTAAAAAGAACTTTATTGTCCGCTACACAAATGTTTTGCGAATATACAATTTTACCCGCCACTCCATTTTGTTATTTTACATAGTTTATTGGATGGTAAATGGTGCTTATTTTGAAGCCTGTGCACAATATTAACATTTGTCAAGATGTGTTATTATCTTGAGTTACAATCACTTTAAAAACAGTGGTGTCAAACTCAAATACACAGTGGGCCAACATTAAAAAAATGGGTACTAGTGGAGGGCAGGACTGGTTCAATGTTTATTGCAAAACTTATTGCACATATTAAACCTGGAACTAACAAAGCTTAAATTATTGCCTATAAAAACAACATTAAACATTAAATAATCAGTTGCATTCATTTCTTATGGCTCTATCTGCAGCTTTTCAGAGTCATTTCTTATGAGTACATTTTTCCACAGGCCAACAACAGCTTCAACAAAACTATTTCCCTCCAAGAACAAACCAAACATGCCCTGTTGTCGTGAGAGAGAAAGTGCAGAAGGAAGCATCCATTAAACTCAGTGTGCTGCTCTGTGATGCTAGCTCAGATACTTGGCATCTCATCTTGGGTGCAAGGTCATCAATGTTTGGGCTCAGGCTCTGAGCGGAGGAGACCCTCAGGATGGAGTGAAGGTGTGCGTGCAATATACCGGCGGGCCAGATCTAATTGTAATAAGAAATTATCCTGCGGGCCGAAATTAAATCCACCAAGGGCCTGATTTGGCCCCCGGGCCTTGAGTTTGACACATGTGGTTTAATACAAATACAACTTTTATATTATTGATAAAAGTACTACGACTAGTTTGAGAAAGTTGTATTTTTTTTTAGAACTGCTCAAACTTGTTTACTAAATGTTAAAGACAATAAAAGACCCAGAATCATGAGGTGTTCCCATGTCGAACACTCGAATACCAACATGTTTAACATTTAACTAAAGCAACCTGGTTACAAAAGCGACACTAAACCTTCATCATAGATTTTGAATCGTATGTGTTTGCATAAGAGGTGAAGATATAAATCAGACACACTCACCAAGACGTATGTGTCGTGTTCGTGCTTCTTCCTGTGCATGTGAACATCTGTGGAAGAAAACAGAAAATACCGTCAACATATTAAACAATCATTATGATTCTCAGATTGTGTTTTTGTTGTCAGACTCTCTGACTATGAACTCATGTTTCTGTGTTTTGGAGCAGACAAATCGCCTTTCCTTACGCAACGTTAGTGTTTCAAGGTAGGGTATGCCATTTTGGAGAAACCAGCTCGAGTGCGCTAGAATTTGAAAGTATTTCAAATTCCTCCTCCAACACACACGAACGAACATGACCAATGAGGGACGAGATAAGTTTGTGCACAGATGGAAGGCTGACAGGCAGGTCGGCCATCCAGTTACTTTAGCCGGCTCAGACGATTGGTCGTGCTTTTTACAGCGCCACGGCTTCCACAGATGACATGTTTTAATGTATTTATTGTCAAAGCATTTAATTTATTCATTGCTATCGGGATGTTAAGAGCATTCCATGGAATATAGCAAGTGTTTCTGGAGTAAATGACATACCCCACCTTTAATACAGTTTGAAAGACAAAATGTTTCTTGTTATTTCTGCACCGAACTGAATAGATAACTTTAGTTACTGTGCAAACTTGGATTATTATTATATCATCTTAAACACTAAAGAGATGAACACATTTATGCATCGAAAATGATAATACAAATATAAAGAATATATTATTCTGAAGTTTTATTTGTGATCCAATCCAACTTTATTTATATAGCACATTTAAAAACGACGAGTTGACCAAAGTGCTGTCCATCAGTAAATATATGAAAAGCAGCATAAATACATTTAGACAAAACCGATAGGTCATCAAAACAAAACACAAGACAATAGAACCATACTTAAAGACACAGACTGAAAACTCTTATACATGATGTAAAAACAATATACAACACCAGAAAATAAAAACCCCAATTTTAAAGCACAGACTAAGTCGTATACGTCGTCTGCAAAAGCACGGGAGAATAAGTGGGTCTTTAAAACAAGATTTTTAGCAGCTACAGCAAAGCAAGGAGGAATCTGTCAGCAGACCTCAGTGACCGTGAGGAGGAGGAGGAGGAGGAGGTATATGGTTGAGTTCTGCCAGGTAAGGGGAGGCCAAACCATTGAAGGCTTTGAAGGCAAACAATACCATTATCAAATCGATTCTAAACTTTATCAGAAGCCAGTGTAGAGATGCGAGTAAAGGTGTAATGTGCTCGTGCTGGCGTGCTCAAGGAGGCGTGCAGCAGCATTGATGGTCATTTGACTTCATTTAGATCAGGGGTCGGCAACCTGCGGCTCTTTAAGCCCTCTGCTCTGGCTCCCTTGAGCTTAGACTAAAATAAGAAGGAAATAAAGTATTTGTAGGACTATTTATATTTTGTTGCACGGTTGAAAATGATTTGTATCTTGTATTTTGAGGTGATACTATGACACATACAAAAAAACGGTTTTAATTAGGTCAACTAAAATATGCGTCACATCCTGCTACGGTCCCGCGCCAGCGCCTTTCCTTGCAGGCGAATAACCTGACCCCCGGATCGATGAGCGAACTATGGATACATCAAAGAAAATAAAAGTATCGGAGGAACACAGAGGGTTTAATTCTGCGTGGGTAGAGTTATATGCTTTCACAGCAAACGATGCTGGCTCACCGCTATGTTTGATATGTGGAGAGAAGTTGTCAAAGGAGCTGCAGCCTTTACGTATCGAGGAAAAACACGGAAGAGGAAGACAGCTGACGATCTGCAGTCATAATTCAATCAGTTAACTCTTTTTAGGGTGCAGCTATATGTTTTATTTATTTCAAAGTGGGCCCATTTTAATTATATTTATTTTCTTCAAATGTGCAGAGGACTCCCCAAGTGCCGTGTTTAATTTATTTTAAAGTAGGCCTGTGTATTGTTTTGTAATTCTCCTCATAAGAGTTCTTTGTTTATTATTAGGTAATAAATAATAAATGCAAAAAAACTGTCGTCTATGATGTAAGAATATATACAACGTTATAGGCTATCAAGCAATCAAATATGTTTTGCGGCTCCAGACAAAAAGCATTGGTGGAAAAGGGGGCAAAGTGGCTCTTTTGGTGAAAAAGGTTCGAGGCTTGTATTTTAACGTTACTTTTCAATGCAAGGCGTTCACTTGTAGCATAATATTGCTTCACTTTGGTAGAACTATTTTTTCTGAAGTCAAAGGTCTGAATGCTTTTTCCACCAGTGAGTAAAACCTGTCGTGAGTGGTAAGGAAGTTAGGTAAGTAAGGAAGATGTGTTGCTTGCTAGTAAAGTACTTTGTTACAAGTAAAAAGCCTGCATTCAAAATAAAAAGTATACAATTATCTGCATCGATAGTACGAAAAGTCAAAGTACTCCTGCACAAAGGCCCATTTCTGAATCGTATAATGATTGTGGAGTAGATGCCAACCATAGATGCCAACACTTTTCTAAAGAAACATTTTTGAATGCATGACTTTTACTTGTAACAGAGTATACCTACACTCTAGAACAGGGGTGCCCAACCAGTCGATCGCGAGATGTGTCTAAAAATAGAACAACAATATTCTGTTTTATCGTTAATGTCCTGTAACATAATCTTCCTGTGCCAGAATAATGCACTTGAACGCATCAAGGCTTTGTGATTGGCCGGCGTGACCCCATGTGTCGGGGCGTGGCTGGTGGGCAGTGGGCACTATTTCGCTGACGTTGTCCGTGTCAACAGGAGTGACAGTCCGCACACACACAAGACCGCAATTATGGCAGAAGCAAAAAAGCCCAGCAACATATATGATTTTCACTCCGAGTGGGAGGATGATTATTTTTGTATTCATTCCAATTCAAAGTCCATCTGTCTCATCTGCAATGCGAGCGTGGCTTTATCGAAGAAGGGTCATTTAGGAGCGGCATTTCAAAACAGTGCACAAACGCTCCGAGACGGAATTCCCTCCTAATTCTGCCCTACGCTCCAAAAGGGGAGGGGCCTGAAAGGACAGCTAAATGCAGCACAGCAGTCCATTTTCACCAGGCCCAACAACAAGAGCAAGGCTGCTACCAGAGCATCTTATCGTGTCAGTCACGTTCTTGAGAAACACATGAAGTCTTTCAAAGACGGCGAAGTTGTGAAAGAAGCTTTCCTGGAGGCTGCCGACGCGTAATAAAAATAACAGAAGCATTTCAACAGGTTTTTGATATAATAAAAACTCAAGTTAGATACCATTATTAATCAGCTGTAAGTTTTGGTTTGTTTGAACTTATTCATTATAATTATTGTACAAAATGGTATAAGAATGCAAACTTAAATTGATTATGGTCTATTATCAATTCAGGTTAAGAAACTAGTGTTGCTTGCATCCTATTTTAAAGGCATTTCTTTTTATAATCTACTAAAATGCAACAAAAAAAGGGTTTGATTCTATTAATTTTGTCTTTTTTATTGCACTTTGGCAGCAGATTCCTGTGTAGCTTCAGATCTGAGTTGTCTTATTAGTAAGCCTCATTTATACTTTTGTAGCAACACTATTTTTATATAATGGCAAAGAAAGGGTTCAGAGTCTTTCCTTTTTTCCTGTGTCATATGTGGCAGCACTGTTCAATGTTTCTTGAAAACATTACCCACTGTAGTGACGTGTGAATAAACTCCAACTCTGTATCAACAACACTGTTGTGTAACTTCAGTTAAATACTTGTATGTGTGTAGATTAGAAAGAGGTAAGATAAAGGATCTGCAGTATTTTATGAAGTATTAATCATACAAAGGTCAGTTTTATACAAGTAGAAGTGTGTATTTACCTGGTAGTAGGCTGTCAGTAATGGCTACGCCTCTCTATTTGGACTGGTAGATCTCGGCAGACTGGCAACTTTAAAAGTAGCTCTCGGTTCAAAAAAGGTTGGGCACCCCTGCTCTAGAACTTCTACTTTAGCTTGAGTACAATATCTGAGTACTTTTTGTAACGCTTCTGTCCATCACTGACTGTCATTCAAACGTTTCAGTAAAATAACCGTTTTAAACGTTAAACCGGTTGACAGTTCCATGCTAGCCGGATTAGCTAACCGTTAACGTCAACAAACAAGAACCACGGGCCCGAAAAGGACATATGGGATACTTAACTGGATCACACTGACCAGTAAAAACACGTTTAATGTATGAAATGTATTTATAACCACCTAAAGAAAGAATAAACTAAAAAACGTTCCCAGCTAAACCCAGAATCAGCTGTTAGCAAAGCTGCCTGTTTGACTACGTGTTGTTAGCCGTTCGCCTGTTAGCATAACAAACCTGAATCCGTGACGTTGATGACATCCACCGACACCATGTCAGGTTTGTCCAGTGGACCCACTTTCCGCTCGGTTACCCCCGACGGAACCACGTCCGGCTTTGGGCCGAACTTTCTAGGGTAATAGTCCCCGGCATTCTGGTAAGAGAGACCCGAGGACGTGGACATCATTCCGTCCATCGCCATTTTGGACTTCCCGTACCCGTCGGCCTGTTCGATTTGGCTGAACCGCGCATGCGTCAGTTCACAGATTTACAAATCACCACCAAGTGAAATTATTAGCAGTGAGCCCATCCATGTGATAGACAGATCTGAGGTTTCTTTTTACTATTCAGATCTAAAGTTCCGGCTATGAAGACCATTTCCGAAAGAAAAAATAAAATAAAATGTTAGGAATGAATTAAATGAATTACAATTATTCAACAAGAGAAAAGGGAAAAATGTCTCCATATATGATTTGTTTTACCAATAAACTGTCAAGTTAACCACAAGTTAATATGTATTTAATCGGATGTATTTAATTTAATTTAAAACGGATTAAATCCGTGTATCTACCGTCCAATTGTTTTTCTTTACTAAACAAGTAAACGGAAGAGCGTCTGAGAGGCGATGTTGCTTTTTGTTTTTTACCTTACTAAATGGTCTAATGGTCATTGGAGCGGGGGGCGGGGCGAAACTCACGGAAGTGATTTCAAAACAAAAGCACTCGTTTTCTTGGAACGGTGATAATATTATAATTATAAACAAGGGGAAACAAGGTGAATTTAGCGATCACAACGAAAACGGGTAAAGACACATATTGAGCCCAGAAAATGAATGTTATTACGGGCTGTAAATATAATAAGCCTGTGTCTAAAATTGACAACTTTTACGGTGTACTTTGTAAATAATCCTCTGTCAGAGTCCCCTCCATGCTACATAATGCATGTTTTCTGCTATCTTTGATGAGTGATAAAAAGACAATTTTACCATTAGTTCTTAATGATATTGATACTGCTGGACTCAGTAGTCTTACACCTACTACCACAATAATGAAGTACTTCTAGTGTGTTGTTTAACAAATCCTCTGTCAATGTCCCCTCCTGAGAACAAAATCAAGCCACTTCTGCTAAGTTTGATGAGGGGAAAAAAGATGTTTGCCATTAGTTCTTCGTGAGATTGACACTGTTGGACTCAGTACTAGTTAAACTACTCCCACAAGTACTATGAAGTACTTTTACTGTGTACTTTTTGAGTAATCCTCTGTCCATGTCCCCTCCTGAGTACAAGAATGCATGTTTCTCTGCTATTTTGAATAGTTAAAAAAACAAAACGTTAAAACACCTTTCTTCATGAGACTGATATTGTTGGACAGAGTATTTTAAGAGGATATGACATATCAGCAATACTTCCAGTCAGTACTCCGGCGGCAGCATTTTTACCCCTTGGAAAGTCTAGACTGGCCTTCAGCAAAGTGACAAACCCTTGTGACTCTTGTTGGCCTCTTATGACAATGCTGTCTTTTAAATAGGACTATTTATCTACTCCTAGTTCATTCCTCGCAGATTCTTCCATCAGTCCCAGTCATTGCATGTCAGTCAATAGAGATTCAAAAAATGTGTCCAATTCAACAACATGTTTTTTTGTGAGTGAAGGCCAGAGCTACATTATAGAGTGTTTGATTGTGTAATTACAAGGTGAGAGAAAACAATTCCACATCCTCATATGAAACGTATTTTATTTCCTTCTCCATGTTATACTTATACTTACTTGTAATAGAACATTTGCATGTTGAACTGCTGGATCACTTCCCCAGCCTCAAGGAAACACAATAAAATAAATGGATTCAACATTATTTTTAAATGATAAAAATTTATAAATTAATAATGTGCAAACATTTCAAATTTAAATATATAATGAAAACAAAGTTTAGTTTCAAATGATTTCTCACAAAAACCTTTCTAAATTATAGTAAATTGTAAAAAAAAGTTTTAGTAAATATATACGTTTTTCTGCCTAAAATAGTTGAAATTCAACGTAAACTATATCAAACACCACATGGCAACTAACCCATTTGGCCCACTATTTAAATTGACTTTGGTTGAAGTTAATAATATTGATATTATATAGATATATAGATATATAGCATATCATTGATGCAGTCTTTCTGAACACTTGTAAAATAAAATACTGCAAATTAAGAATATTTGTAATGTTCTTCACAGATAGTGCCCTAACTTGAATTTGAAAACACGTGGCAACTTTATTAATACAGCAGATGAAAAGATTTGTGGAAGGATACATTCTCCATGGGCTTCAATGGCTCTCTAGATAAAGGGCGTTTTATGGTTGCTTGTATTATCCTCAGATAGTGGTTTGTTTAAATAACTAGAGACATTTCAATAAATATTGAAAAAAAGGGTAGATACACGGATTGTATTTTTACTTTATGTTGCAACTGCTAAAGGTTAAGCTCCTTTTAGAAACTGCTGTGTAGCTTTAGCAAACATATTACATTATATCTTTATCCATTAATGATATGTTTTATAAATAATCTGGACATGCAAAACAACATAATACAAATTGGCAGATAAATGTACTTAACCAAAGATTTAAGTACGATTGTATCCAGTGCCTTATAGGTTCATGTCAGCTAACTTTCCCAAACACAAGCAAGTGTAACTATACAAAAGTAATGCAGGTTCTTACTGGTATATGTGTCCAGTGAGCATTCAGACTGTTCCAACAGAAAGAAGAGAGAAAGAAGAGGAAGCGTGACAGATTCAAGCGTGGAAATGTGTGTTTTATGATTGGGGCCCCAAGGCACTGTGTGTGTTCATGAGAGTTTTGGTCAAAGTTGAGTGTGTGTGTGTGTGTGTGTGTGTGTGTGTGTGTGTGTGTGTGTGTGTGTGTGTGTGTGTGTGTGTGTGTGTGTGTGTGTGTGTGTGTGTGTGTGTGTGTGTGTGTGTGTGTGTGTGCGTGTGTGTGTGTGTGTGTGTGTGTGTGTGTGTGTGTGTGTAGAATGTATAGTTGCTCATTTGTATGAGATTTTTATATTCAGCAGTTTGTCAAAGTGACATCGAGAGGCCCCCGAGCAACCAACACTGAAATGTAAAGAGAAAGGATGAAGGAGATAGGATTAGGGAAAGAGGACAAAGTTACTAAGAGTGCAGAAACAAAGGAAGTAGTGGAGAAATTGATTCTTTATGTTGGTTAACTACAAATAACTGTTGATTTGGAACTTTAGTTATTAAAATACTACAAGTCAAAGTCAGGTAAACTGCAAAGTATTGCATTTAGTAAAAGTATTGATTGTGCAGGAAAAATATAGGTAACAAACAAATGTAAAACTTATTCCTGTTGCAGTAATGTGTTTGTTGCATAACAAATATATACAAATATAGAACTTAATGGAAACGAAATGGAGTCTTAATAAAACGTATTGTCGCCCAAATTCACCAACCATGTAAATGTTTTTATTCCAACCCTCAAAACAAAGATCTAAAACTGTAAACTTTACTATGAAATAGCAAAAGACATACAAAATCAGAGTCGTTTTTTCCCCATCTGGCATGAAGCAGTCAGCAGACACTGGATCTGTTTCCTGCCACATGTGTTAGCCCTCAGATAAATACAGCATTGACATGTAGGCCTACAATAATACTGCACATAATTACTGTCCAGAACAGAGTGCATGAAGAAAAGACGTGCAGCTCTCAAATCCGCCATAACATCTGGCTCCGTCAAGGACTCGCTGTATATAAGTTCAAGTGTCAGATAATAATGATTATAATAATACGTAAAGTGCCGTATTCATAAACAAAGAGGCGCATTGTGGTGTGTCAGTTCATCCCGGCAGAAATGGTTTTCATCAGACTGAGACGGAGGTTTCTGGAAATACTTCCAGTGGCAGAACCACAAGAGCTCATTCACAGAAAGATTAAATTGCATGATGTCTCATTTGCATATTTAAACAGCATTTCACAACCTTGTTATACGATTTAATTTATTTAATGTAAGTAATGAGTTGGGGAAGTTGCATGGAGCTATCTATTATCTACCCTATTCACGTGTACATCGTTTTTCTCCTCCTCTCTCGACAGAAATCTCCACTTCACTATCACTCACACACACCAAGCTTTCCAGTTTAATTCCTTTCTATATTCTGAAGCTTTTACAAAGGGCTTTGTTCACACAGCATTCACAGCCTGATTTATAGAGCATTCAATAACTAGAAACAGGCAGCAGATGCCTATTTCATAGGGCTGTTGACAGGATTTTCTGATTTATGGAGTGAAACAAAAGGATATCTTAAATCACCACAGTTCACCACATTGACTCTGTCACGTCAACACAACGAAACAATAATTCATCCAATGTTCAAATTTCTGTTGTGCAAAACAGTCAGTATTTAATTACATAATGAGTCATTTGAATATTTCACATAACATTTTTTTATCAGTACTATTTTGTCGCCTATATTAATCGTCTGAATTTTACAAAACACATGTACCTCATATTCAATATGTACTTTGACGACAATCAATACTTTTACTATACAGCTACTGATAATAGTGTTTTCTTTTACTTGAATGCAGGACTTTTTCTTTGGTGTTTGTACTTTTACTGCTGCAAACAATCCGGTATCTTCTTCAACCCTTGATGTGTTGAATAAACAAAAAATGACCCCATTTTAGTCATGGGAAATGTAGGATCCAGTGTTTTTGGTGCTTGACCTTTCAGATGTTGTTGGAGCAGAAATTAAAGAGTTTTACAATTTTTTACGCTTTGGTAATTTTTAGGGAAATGTTGTAATATTGCAACGTTGGCCTTAGGTGGGAGCATCATTTCTGTATTTCTACTCACATTGTCTGAATATATTGAACAACTAAGGGTTAATTTGCAGGATTGATTGCTTACTTAGTCCTATATCAGTATATACAGCATGAATAATAATCACACATCAGTCATATATGTTATGAATAGTCATTTATTAAATAGTAATGCAATGGTAGTCCCAAAAACAGTTCCTGTCATCGGAAAAGCACAGACGGACGTCACACTTGCTGCATTGCGTGTTTGTGTGCCTGTAAATGACATCCTCTGTGGTATCTGGACCAGAACAATCAGTATTGGGACTGATCAAATCTTTTTTCAGCCAGCGATACCTGTCACAGGTTTATTTGGTTGGGGCTCTATGTCATAATCACTGACTGGGCGGTCATTGGGTTGTTGGTTTTCTTTGTCCACTTGTCCACAGGCATCTTCATCTGCCTGTTCTTCACTTATAGCAGTGTCACTGTCCTCTGATTCCATCTCAAAATCACTTTCTCCTTTTTGGATGGCATCACATCCTGCACACTGACTCGAGGACCTCTCTTTGCTGGTGGCATTCTGAAATGGAAAAAGTCATTAATAAATATGTATCAATAATACATATGCTTATTGCATTGTAATAGATTACCTAAATGAATAGATAGGGTGGTGGGACAAGTGTTCATTCTGTCTGGCTTAGCCTATTATCATACTAAAAGGAATGCATGCACCACCCCCCCTTCCAGGTGTCCCGATGCAACAAGTACCTGAATCCTATTTACATTCTACACTTGAGTCACACAATACTACCTGGCTTAGCCTATTATCATAATAAAAGGAATACCTACACCCACACATGCAGGTAAACCAATGCAACAAGTCACACAATGCTGTCTGGCTAATGATAACAGGCTAATTATCATACTAAAAGGGATACACCCAAGTGTCCCGAAACATTTCAGAAAGAACTGTTTCTGCCAGAACCAGAGAAGAGTTAAATGTATTTGTGTAACTAATTAACTGATAAGATACAAGTAGAGTTTAAATAATTCAATAATGTATTAATTTATTCAATTCTGGTCTTGATTCTAAATCTTAACAGAGGACACATTTAGAACGTAGTTATAGTGAATTATCAAAGACATTATATTTCTATTAGTGTTTTATATCCATATGTAAATCTCCATGACAGGTGCACGTGCTATTTTAACCACACTGACCCAGTGTCGTAATATTACAACAAAGACATAAGCTGCTCAAAATCAAATGTGATGAATATATTTCACAATAACTGAATATGTACATGTTCTAATCTAGACATTGTAATAATGACAACAAATATATATTTGTGTTTGACTGTACCTGTGTCTGTTTTTCTTTTGAACGACTTATCTCAGCTGCCGGCTACTGGGTACCAGAAAAGACCTCTCTGTCTATGCTGGCCTTACGGCTGCCAAGAAATTGGTTGTTATGAGGTGGAAACAACCCGACAAGCTATCAGTGACCTGCCGGTTACTGACGTTTCTTGACGTAGTCTACATGGAACTGTCCACTGTACCTGTGATTGGAGTTAAGGAGACCAATATCGGTTTATGGGTGTCGCCAGCTGAAAAATGGAATGAGCGGATCTAACAATCTTAACTGATATAGTTGTTTGCAGTCATTGATCCTGAGAGGTCCTGGGATTGGGGGTGGGAGGGTTTATTTTCCTTAGTTTTGTCCTCTTGTCTGATTGTTGGTATTGTTTATATTTTTTGTAATTTGTGTTGTGATTGTACATTGTATTTTTCTAAATGTGTGTGAATAAAAACATTCGATAAAAAAATATATATATATATTTGAGGCATTTTACTTTCTTGAAACTGACATCCAGTCCAATAAAACATGCTCGTTTGAAGATTTGGAAGTTGTGTGAGAGTATGGCCAGAGGGCAGGACCTTTAAACACATTTAATACCCAATAGCATTGTGAGGCTGAACAAAAGGACCCTTTAAATAGGTAAATGTAGTCTTTTTAAAAAAAAAATCATTTACTGACTTTTTTAGGATAGCTTCAAGTAATGTTGTAAAATTACAACCTGTTTCTGGAAGAGCTCAAAAACTAAGATAAAAACCTCATTGAGCGAGGTAAGTGTATTCTCTGAACCTTGTTAGCAAGTAGATAAGAAAGCACTGAAGGAACAAAGATCAACTTTCTCCAGTTAAACACCTCCAAGACTGAAGCCATTCTTATTGGCACTCCACATCAGGTCCGTTCATCCGCCATCACCAGCATCACCTTCTCCGGTCAGAACATTCCACGCTCATCAACTGTTACCCATCTGGGAGTTAAAATGGATCCTCACCTGACCTTTGAGGCCCACATCAAGCAAATATGCAAGACCTCTTTCTACCACCTGAGAAATATTGCGAAACTCCGCCCCACACTCAGTCTGCCAGATGCTGAAAAGCTTGTCCACGCCTTTGTCTCCTCCAGGCTGGACTACTGTAACGCACTTCTCATTGGGATTCCTAGCAAGAACATCCAGAAGCTGCAATACATCCAAAACACCGCTGCTAGGATCCTGATGAGAGTGCGGAAGTACGAACACATCACACCCATCCTCAAATCACTGCACTGGCTCCTGGTCTCACTCAGGATTGACTACAAAATCACCCTCTTCACTCATCAGTGCATATAGGGAAATGCTCCCTCCTACATCAAGGAATTGCTCACTCCACAAACCTCCACGAGGAACCTACGTTCAGTAAAAGCAAACCTCCTCATCCCACCAAGGACAAAACTGAAGACCATGGGAGACCGAGCCTTCTGCTCCGCTGCTCCGAGACTGTCGCCCTCCCAAACCAGCTGAGGACACCACAGACTGTGGAGGCGTTCAAAAAAGGCCTAAAAACGCATCTTTTTAGAATAGCCTTTAACTAGATTTTTAAATCCCCCACATTATGCCATGCCGGCATGAATGTCACAGCTTTTATTATGTTGTTTTAATTGTTTTTAAATTGTTTTTTTTATTGTTTTTGTTGTTTTGATTCACCCTTTTTAATTTTTAATTTTGTAGCACTTTGAGTTTTGTTTACGCAAATGAAAAGTGCGCTTATAAATCAAATATATTATTATTATTATTATCTTTTAGTCACTTGTCTCTGCAACCCCCAACCGTCTGAGGAAGTTGAAGAATTCCTCTCCCGGGGTTTCCTCCTGCTCTTTTTGTGTTATGGGGGGAGGTTATACTTGACTTACCTAGATTTGGGGGTTTTATGGTTGTTCGGGGTCTGGTTGTTGCTGTGCAGTCCAATGAGCTGTGAGTCTGGTTCTGAGCTGCACAAAAAAAGCGATCACAATCTGTGTGTGTGTGTGTGTGTGTGTGTGTGTGTGTGTGTGTGTGTGTGTGTGTGTGTGTGTGTGTGTGTGTGTGTGTGTGTGTCTGTGTGTGTGTGTGTGTGTGTGTGTGTATGTGTGTGTGAGTGTGTGTGTGTCCCTCCCATTACAGGGATCTCTCACCACTTTCACACACGTCAACATAGTTGTGTGTGTGTGTGTGTGTGTGTGTGTGCGTGTGTGTGTGTGTGTGTGTGTGTGTGTGTGTGTGCGTGTGTGTGTGTGTGTGTGTGTGTGTGTGTGTGTGTGTGTGTGTGTGCGTGTCTGTCTAGTAAAAGAAGGTGGTTCCTGGTGCCTCCCCCTCTTACTACACACATATCCACACATCCACACACACACACACACACACACACACACACACACACACACACACACACACACACACACACACCCACACACACACCCTTCCTCACTCTCAGTGTTACTTGCTCACAGGGCAGCTGTAGATGGACGCTGAGCTGCACAGAAATCAGCGTTTCTCCTTTTTCCTGCTTTTTCTTTGTGGGTTATTTTTGAAGTTTAATTGATTATTTTCCACACTGTACTGAATCAGGATGAACACCAACGACTTCAAATCCAACGTGCAGTCCAGTCTGCAGAGGGCAAAGGACGTGAGCGATGAGGAGAAGCTGTACAGATACAAAGGGGTGCTGTACCCGCAGCTTCTCTCCCCCGAGGAGAACCTCAAGGCTCTGGAGAACTTCAAGGCCCGAGAGGAGGATATCATGCTGGTGGCATACCCCAAGTGTGGTGAGTGACTCTACAAGGGAATAGGGGGAACACATTATTAATATATATCGTTAGGAAACTTCCCTAGTTCATTCATTACGTTGAGAGAAATATTTTTTGTATGACAAGTTTTCTGAAATCTTATGTTTAAATATGCAAATGCAGCATTTTGTTGTTAAAATTGTGCTCATTTGATAAAATTCCTGTATAGAAATGTGAACATTGGATAAAGTCGCGTTCAAAGTTCTTGTTTTGTCCACATGACTCCAACCTGTTTACAGTTTTTGGATATGTCTTCATATTACTCTATAAATCAGAATAATTCAGAATATACTGTCATGAGCCATGAAACATGCATTTTCAGCCTGTTTTTAGTCATAGAAATGCTCTATAAATCAGGCTTTGAATGACATGTGAGCAAAGCCCGTTGTTAAAAGCTTCAGAATATAGAGAGGAATTACACTGAAAGTTTGGTGTTTGTAAGTCTTACCGAAGTGGAGACTTCTGCTGAGAGAGGAGGAGAAAACACTTCTTTTTTTTTGTTAAACGGCCTTTAAAGGTATTATTGCAAAGTTCATACATGTTGTACACACTACAGGTGAATAGGGTAACTATACCTGTATATCACCATGGAAACCTCCCCAGTTTGTAACTTACATTAACACAATTATTTTATGTATTATAACCTTTCTGAAATGTTTAGTTTAGATATGCAATGTGTGATCATTTTAGTACAAATTTGAACATTGTATAAAGCCAATTTTTTACATATTAAAGAGGCGATTCCATATTTCTCTTTTACTCCATGACGTCAAAACAATTTTGTAATTCAGGAAAAAATCTGGACTCATTTGGGTGAAGTTCTCTCATTGGCTCATTGATGAATCTCTTACTTCTGCAAAAACAGAAAATCAACATTTTTGAATCTCATGTTTTTATTAACCTGTAAGTATACAATACAAAATAAACTGAGGTTTGCAGCCCTGTAAGACTTTAACATCCACGTATATCCAAGTCAAACCATAGAGTGGTGAGAGTCTTTTTGATTTTGCAAGTACATTATTTAGGTATTTAAATTGTTTAATGAACTGTGCTTTGAAAATGTAATTCAACATTTTTGCTAAATACATTTATTGGATCAGATAGATTTAAACTTCATGTCGGTCAGGATGCAGTTATCATTAAGACTAGCTGGGGGAACCTGGCTCTGCCTAAACTCTCTCTGATGAATGATCCCTTTGTTTAATCTGCAAACAAACAGATCATTAAAATCTGTTTTAGTGGGGGTTGTGTCGGTGTGCGGTTGCCACAATAAAATCCGAGCAGGTTTTTTACTTAAGGAAATAGACTGTTGTGTAATGTCGAGATCAACAGGAAGCTGTGGTTAAAAGGAAAAAAGTCCTGTGTGTCCTCCTTTACACTTGAGTTGATGAGTTGTTACACATACCTACATCTCACCAAGCAAGATGAACAGGACAACCCGTCAGGGCAGTTTTAGTGCAGAGAAAAGTAGTGAAGCTAAGCTATGATCCTTACGGATTTACACCCCATAAATCCCCTTGTACCTCGGAAGCTGCTCGGATTTCCATCCTCATTTTATTGGCGGCAACAAGGACAAATAGGCTGCAACACCCCGAATACATTCTTAAGGAGAAATGCGCTTCAGTGGCGAAGTCAAATAAAAAACACATCAGGAAATCCCCCCTTAAATACTATAAATGAAAAACTGTTCTGCAGAAAGTCAAAAGAAAAACACCTCGGAGAGCGGGAGCGCTTGATTTATGAATCAAAGAAGTAGACTTTCCAAGAGAGTGTTTGTTTTTATAAAGGGAAGTACATTTGGTCTTTTATAAAAGATTTGAGTTGACTGGACATGCAGGGTTTTTGGTTTCTGTATGTCCAGATTTCTTGCTAGAAATCTTTCTGTTTAGTCTTGCACGTTTCTTCACAGCAGTTTCATTCCATAGCTATGCCTGTTTTTGTTTTTATAAATTTGGAGTCTGCAGCACATTTCTCCCAATGGAAATATGTTGCCGTTGTTGGCCACTATATTTGAAATTAAAATCAACTTGTAAATTGAGTTAGCATGGCAGTGGACAGCTGGGACTGTTTTGAAACACTTGTTGGTGCATTCAAGGAGGCAAGGCCATTTTATTTATAGCAGCTTTCAGCACGCGACAATTCAAAGTGCTTTACAAAATAAAAACAAAAGACATTTAAAGGTGGGGCAGGTAATTCTGGAGAAACCAGCTTGAGTGAGCTAGAATTTGAAAATACACAGCCGGAAAAAATCTGCCACTTCCTTACAGAGCCCCTCCTCCAACACACACGAACGCGCACATGACCAATGAGGGCACGAGATAAGTTTGTGCACAGATGGAAGGCTGACAGGCAGGTAGGCCATCCAGTTATTTTAGCCGGGCCGGCTCAGATGATTGGTCGAGCTTTTTACAGTACCACATCTTCCACAGATGACGTTTTTTGTCAAAGCACTTCAGATATTCATTGCTATCGGGATGTTAAGAGCATTCCATGGAATATAACAACAAGTGTATCTCGAGCCGGTTTCTCAAACTTACCTACCCCACCTTTAAGAATAAATACAGCATAAACACATTATTAAATGGCATTTAAAAACAGGCATAAAAAAGCAAAGATAATGAAATAAATAAATAAACACAGCAGGTACAGAATACATGAATAAAAGGCATCCTGCAGTGTGAGTATGAACTCAATTAAAAGCAGCGGCAAATAGATATGTTTTTAGTCTGGATTTGAAAATAGGAAGTGTTTCAGCGGACGTGCACGATTCGGGCAGTTTGTTCCAGATTGTCGGGGCATAATAGCTCACCGCTAAAGGACACACAGACATTTCAGAGATTAGGCTGGAAAAGGTTTTATATACCTGATTTATGATGTCTACAATGAGACAAGGCCTACAGTCAATCTTCTTTATTGTATACTTTTAAAGTCTATCACCATATGTTAAAACATATCATGGTAAAAAGACACCCAGAGCATTTCATTATAGGATTGCAAAGGAGATGATCCAGTTTAGTTTTACAACCCTTTAAAATGTAAAAACGCACTCGTTGCAAAACATGCAAGAACATGAACCCGAAAAAAGTCCAAAAGGTGACGAAAGTTCATTTCCTGTTCCTGTTTCAGCTTTCTGTAAAATCACTGCAGCCTATCAAGAAATAATCGTCCACATTATATCCTGATTAAACAGGAAACATTCAATGTGTCACCAAGAGAAGTAATATACATTTAAAGTAAAATGTCACTACTGTATATCCCAGTTTTCTAGCACTAAAAGATGCTTTTAAATCAGATGTACTTCACACATTTCTCTATGTTTTTTAACTGTAATTCTTATTTCCCGTATATACATTTTTCTTGCAAACTTTTGACTTTTAATTAAAATTAGTTTCTACAGTAGTTTTTATAGTATTTTTATATCTGCTCTAATTCATTTCGTATTCCTCTTACATTACATGTCACTTGTTAGACGCTTTTATCCAAAGCGACTTACATACTCAATACTGTGGACAATCCCCACAGGAGCAATTTGGGTTGAAGTGTCTCAGGGACACAACCACATGCTGACTGCAGTGGGGTTTGAACCTGTGACCCGCTGATCAGAACACCAACGGACAACCCACTGCACCACACACCTCTTACTGTGTTTTATGTATGCACCATGCACCAAAGCAAATTCCTTGTCTGTGCAAACCGACATGGTTTCAAACATTGAATACATTAAATGCTTTGACAATAAATACATACAAAAATGTCATCTGTGGAAGCCGTGGCGCTGTAAAAAGCACGACCAATAATAATAATACTTTTCATTTGCGTAAACAAAACTCAAAGTGCTACACAATTAAAAAGGGTGAAACAAAAACAACAAAAACAATAAAAACAATAAAAAACAATTTAAAAACAATTAAAACAACATAATAAAAGCTGTGACATTCATGCCGGCATGGCATAATGTGGGGGATTTAAAAATCTAGTTAAAGCTAAAAAGACGCGTTTTTAGGCCTTTTTTGAATCATCTGAGCCGGCCCGGCTAAAGTAACTGGATGGCCTACCTGCCTGTCAGCCTGCCATCTAGGCACAAACTTATCTCGTGCCCTCATTGGTCATGTTCGTGTGTGTTGGAGGAGGGGCTGTAAGGAAGTCTGAAGGGGCAGATTTTTTCCAGCTGTGTATTTTAGCACACTCGAGCTGGTTTCTCCATTCTTACCTACCACCTTTAACCTCTAAAAAGCTACTTCATTGTCTCTCTGCAGCAGCTCTGGGTTCTGCGGTGTATCTACAACACCTGAGTGAATGTGCCGATGATGTATTGAGATTTAAAAGCACCTCATCTATCTCCTTCTCCTGAAGTCACAAAGTGCTCACAGAAGAAAAGCGTTGTCACATTCCTGCTGTCGCCGCGCTGCCTTCCAGGAATGTGACGTGATTTCTTTCAGGGATTTGTGTTTACTTTCGAGAGACTTTTTTTTGCACACTAAAACAGATGAGTTAATTGCCGTTTGGGGGAATGTTAGATTGAACACACACTGATCACACATGCATTTATAGGGGCCCATTTGGTCTGGGGCCCGCACGGGGAGAGCGGCTATTCATCGGCTCTTTTTATGTGTCCCCTTTTGATGCTACAGGCATTTAAATTACGCAGCAGATAATGGCTTCCTGATGTCTCGCTGATATACGGCGGCAGATAGAGGAGGATTTACCTCGCCTCCACATGCTCATATTTACGGGCTGCTGTCGTTTATAGGCCTGTTATATTTTTCACTGCTTCTCATTCTGCCCCATGTGGCTCTAAAAAGCGTGTTTTATCCAGCCTGTCCTCCTACAAAAAACGACCATATAGGTCGATTGTTCAGCAGCTAAATACGACCCAGAGTCACGTTTTAAAGTGTAGCACCTCTAGTGGTCGTGTAAGAAACAACATGTTCATGTCGATTGCAAACGCTCCGGAGGGTCGTTTATTCACAAATAACCCTCTCTGGAAAATCCTAAATTGTGGAATAGTTTGGCCATTAAAATGCTTTTTTATTAGATTTATAGCGAGAAGTGTACTGGAGAACGTGTACTGTATATGGGGCAGCTTCCATGTAAAGTTAGCGTGGGTGAAAACAGTATTTCCGGTCTCGAAGTTTTCATAATAAAACCGGAAGTATTCCCCACACTGTCAAATGATTACACAGTGATATTTCCATTACTCATCCACTAAAAAACATCAGTTTATTCTTGTTAATTACACAATATTGATTGGTTTAAATTGTGTACAATGCTTTTGTGTTTTTAACCTTCGATTCGGAGAAACAAATTGTTTTTTCGGAGTTTAGACACTACAGAGTGTCCGAAGACACTACACTACCCAGAATCCCCAGCTATCGTTTGGGACTACAACATCCGCCTTGCTTTACAAACCCCGTGATTAGCCCTCAAGCTCTGTGATTGGATGTTGGAGTGGCAGTGCGACAAGGTTACGCCGAGTGTCAAACAGCTCTTTGAAATGGAATGGAACCACGCCAGACTAGCCAAAACTGGATTTGGACGGGTCCAGCCCAGCCCTCCCCTCCCAGAATTACACATGCTGGCTATTGTATGTTTCGCAACATGTTCTATGCACGTCTCTACTGGGAATTGTAGTTTTAAGTTTTTGTATTTCTCACAATTAGAAGTTGCCAGTATTAAACTGTATACATCCCTGGAGGTTTAGGGGATACGAAACACATTGGTGCTATCAAATTTAAAACATATAATTAATACATGGGTGAAAATAGCTTGTGTCCATAATGGGCAGCATTAATATACCCACATGACAGCTAAGGTCAGAAGAGCTTTATTTAACAGCTGGTCTTATGTCTGTGACCCCTCCTGTTGTTCATTGATAAGCCTGAAACATGCACTTGTCAAGGTTCAGGGGCACATTTAGCAAATATGGCAGTAGCCTTCGATCATCTTAAGATAAGATACTTTATTGATCCCAAGTTGGGAAATGTTTTTGTTACAGCAGCATGTACTACTTTGTTCTACTCCACTACAATTCAGAGGTTAACCTGGTATTTTTACTCCACTACATTTATTTTTGTTACTTTGCAGATTCTGATTAATGATGTGAAATATAAACAACCCTTAAATCAGACTTTAGTTACACCTGAGTCAAATTCAGCCTTATCAGTTTGTCTGTTTTGCACATCCTCCTGTTAATATCTTTGGACGTCCTGCACTAAACTGTTTTATTGTAGAGATCACTACAGTATCTTCTTGATATTTTCTATTCTATATTTTTATCATTGACCCCTATTTTGTATGTAGGTTACTCTTAATATGTAAATGTTTTCATCAAATATAACTTATTCAACAACTAAATTCAATAACGTGCTTTTTTTTAAGGTGCGGTTTAAAAAAACAGTGGTCTAGTTAATAAAACATAATAATATCAAACATAATATGACTATTAACTTAAAATTGAAATTAAAACAGAACGGTAAAGGAAAATACAGTTTCAGTCTCTCGATGTGAAGCTTATGCATTGTACCATGAACTTGTATAGACCTGTAACAGTCAACTGCATGACGAGTTGGAAAGGTAGTTCAGAAAATCAGTAATATCTTTAAAAACTACAAAAAAATCCCTTTCTATCAGCTGTGCACCGTTATGGTGTAAATACAGACTATCTACTAATTGGATCAAATATAAAAGTCAGCCGAATTAGTGTTGATACTGCAAGGAGACGTATTGTGTGAAAAGAAATGGAAGATGTTGTTTAATTGTTGATATGTTATGGTCCACGTCACGTATTCAGTTTTGGCGGCATCTCTTCCAGTTTGTCAAAAGGTCTTCTGATCAGGGCTCTATAAATACATATCTACGGCAGATATGTAATATGTAATGCAGCCGAACCGTGTATTACAATGCCGTTATGTGATGACTTTCAAAGAGAAAAGCAAGAACACTCGGAATAAAGTGTTATTTTATTTTTTTAAAATGTTTTCCGATTTCATATCACATAAACACCATATCCCGACGTGCATTGCGGCGTGATTTTAGCCTATCAAAACCTCTGAAAAAATAAATGTGTCTCTCAGAATCGAAAGAGAAAAACCTATGGGAAAAACACAAAAGCATTGTACACAATTTAAACCAATTAATGTCGTATAATTAACGAGGATAAACTGATGTTTTTTAGTGGATGAGTACTGCAGATATCACTGTTAAATCATTTGATCATTGGTTTTATTATGAAAACGTCGAGACCGGAAATACTGTTTTCAACCCGTAACTTTACATGGAGGCTGCCGCATATACACGTTCTCCTGACGAAACCTCAAATCATCTTCGTAATAGCTATCAAACTATAGATCCTACATATCGACTGGACGTGGATTCTAAAAGTACAATATATATTTCTCGCTAGAAATCTAATCAAAAAGCGTTTTAATGGCCAAACAATCCTACAATTTAGGATTTTACAGAGAGGGTTATTTGTGAATAAACGACCCTCTGTAACGTTTGCATTCAACGGGAGCACTAGAGGCCGACAACTTTAAAACTTAATTATAGGTCGTATTAAGCGCTTGAACAATCGACCCATTTGGTCGTATGAGTTGGAGGACTTGTTGGTTTTATCATCACTTTCTGTCCCTGCCAGATAACAAAGACATGAAATACCTCTACTTTAAACCTTTTTGGACTTTAACTGATTCAGACTACTCAATAAACTTTTTTTTTTTCTAAAAGTCAGCTCTTTGAGCGCCATAATGCAAATTCTTGGGTTGTATTTGTTAGTGTGTGTCAGCAAAGATTACAGAAAAGCTACTGTTCATATTATAATGAAACACGTGGCTGTATGAAATACTTAGATGTGGATGTATTTAAGACACCTTTAAAAATCAATATCCGTTGAAGTGTAAGCTATATGTTTTATCCACCTTTAAACTTTCTTTACTTCAAATTCACAAAAGCAGCAATTTGACCTAGCAGGACGCAGGAGATTCTGGTTTGTTTATTATGTTTTCTACTTATGTAAACAGTGTGTGTGTGTGTGTGTGTGTGTGTGTGTGTGTGTGTGTGTGTGTGTGTGTGTGTGTGTGTGTGTGTGTGTGTTCCTGTGTGTGTGTGTGTGTGTCTGTCTGTGTCTGTGTGTCTGTGTCTGTGTGTGTGTGTGTGGCGTAGCATTACTATACTTGTGGGGACCTAAATCTGTTTACACAGTCACGTGTGGGGACTCGCCTCCCTTATGGGGACAAATTGGAGGTCCCCATGAGGGGAATCACTAATTTTAGGGTGAAGACTTGGTTAAGTTTAGGCATGTGTTGCTTAAGGTTAGGATAAGTCTCCAGGAAATGCATGTAAGTCAATGAAATGTCCCTTGAAGTGATGTATACATGGTGTGTGTGTGTGTGTGTGTGTGTGTGTGTGTGTGTGTGTGTGTGTGTGTGTGTGTGTGTGTGTGTGTGTGTGTGTGTGTGTGTGTGTGTGTGCGTGTAGGTTTTAACTGGATGGTGGGGGTGGTGAGGAAGATTATCGCGGAGGTCACGGGGGTGAAAACGGAAGCCAGGATGCCGCCGCTGATAGAGTTTTTTGGACCAGAAATGTTAAAGGTATGTGTGTGTGTGTGTGTGTGTGTGTGTGTGTGTGTGTGTGTGTGTTTGTATGTGTGTGTTAATTTGATTATTATTTTCTCATGCCAAGTTCTACTTTCACTCCACAACATGTTTCTGACAGCTGCAGTTACTAAACTAATCACGATTTTTGTCAAAGTTTATAAAATGTCAGCTGGAAAATATTAGTTATAATGTTGATGTAATATATACCTGTACTTTAGTCTGGGACATTTTTAACTCCTGATAACACTTTTACTGGAGGAACATTTTCAATGAAGAAGTTTTACTTGCAACAGGGTATATATATATATTATATATGTATAGTGTTAGTACTTTTAATGCAGCAGCAGGAAGATTGTGTTTATGTTTTAGAGTCGTGCAGAGAGAGGAGATAAAGTCTGTCTGTGTTTCTGTGGAGTCTCCACTATCAGATGTTATCTAACAGAGCCCTCGGGCTGCCTCGCTGGCCGTCCGAGGCCGTGGCGCATTTCCATTAGGACCTGGGGTAGCAACTCAGTGTAGGCAGGGCGATCGGCTTTTTGGCGGGCTTTTTGGGTGGAGCGACGCTGGGTAAAACTGCAGTGGCGTCATCTTCAATGCGACACAACTCACAAAACTATCCCTTGCCAAGCTGGCTCTTAAAACCCTTCCCAGCCACTGGACGGCTGACAGCAGAACATGTGGTATACAACAAGAACATTTGCAGCGCACGGGTAGTGGTTGAAAACGCATTTGGTAGACTGAAGGGAAGGTGGCGTTGCCTCATGAAAAGAAATGACTGTGATGTGAAACTTGCGAAATCCATGGTGCTGACATGCTGTGCGAGAGTCATGGAGAGGACTATGATGATGGGTGGAATGCACCAGCAGCAGCAGAGCCTGGGGTAGCAGTGGCTCAAGGTGCAGAGGAGGAGGGCACTGACATCAGAGAGGGTTTGATGCGCTACCTGAATACCTAAATATGCATTGTATTGTATTCATTGTATTGAACATAAATCAATCTTTTTTTTTTCATATACATGTGTTTGTCAAATGTTTCAAACAAATGTTATCTGAATTGAATATTTAGTAAATATTTGAATTTCAAGCACCAGTATGTGCCCCATAATAAGAACATTTGAGGAAATATCAGATCATGAAAAGAAAATCTTTCTAATAAATTAAGCGAATATCAAAGCTAACTATAAACATAAATACTAAAGTGTAAAACACAGCAAAACTATATTCATAAATGCAAGTGTAAAATAGTGTGGACAATTGTAAACATGGATGGAGGCTAAAGTATCCACAACATAAAATAATATATTAAAATATAACCTCAATCTTTCTTCTAGACATGTTAAAAGCTTGCTTGAATGGGTTATAGGTTTCTTTTGTTCTCTCGTCTTTGAAATATATAAGGAATGTGTTGTTTGAATCTAGTAGAACTAGGGTATTACAATTGAGCAATTTCTACATATATTATGTATTTATCATGTATTCTTAATACTATTACAAAATAAACATGTAATAATGTTTTAGAGGAGGACCTCAAGCTAGCAAACTCCATTTCTTGCTTTAAATCTCTTAAAACTAAGGGGCTTTTTCCTAACTGATGGTGTTTGTTATTGCTTTATAAATTCATGTATGTTTATATCTTCTCTAAATCAAGATTATGTGAATCTGATTTTTTTCTGTTGGGTGCAATTCATTATCAACAAGAGATAAGATAAGTAAAATAAGTACTTTATTGATGGCAGTATAAAAATACAAAAAAAATGTTGTATCAAAAAGGCATGCCATTAAACAATACAAATAAAAAAAAATGTAAAACTGTATCGCAGCCAGCATAAATATACATGGCATTGTAAAAATAAATATAAAATGAACATTTGAAAGAAAATAAACAAGTAAGTACAAATGTTGCATTTCAAAATTAACTAGATAAAAAATATATAATATGTACAATAACTATTAAGGTTATTTTAAGTATCACGGAGGAGACGGGCCACGTCGGCTGCCCAGTCCCCCTAGCACCTTGCCAAGAGTGCGCAGGAAGGCTAGGTTGAAGGTCTCTGCTTGAGCGGCCTCCTCCCTTCTCAAGACGGCCTCCTCCCTTTTCAAGGCCGCATCCAACTCCCATCTCCGCTCAGCAGACGCTTTGGCCCAGTCCAAGTGCCGTTCCTGCTGGGCCATGTGCTGTTCATGGTGCCGTTCCTGCTGGGCCCGATCCTCTCCTCCTCGTTTCCTCTTGCCTGGGTGACAATAAGATAATAATTAGCAATAAGGAAAAAACACAGGACAGGTACAGGTCACACAAGGATATAAGAATAACATGTATAAACAGAACAACAGTAAGGTGAACTAAAGAAAGTTCTGGCCCTAGATGTTTACAATGATTGTGAAAGTGAATTACATTATGTCCAGCCTGTTGATAATGAATATATGTATATGTATATGATAGGATGTCACACACAACTGTACTAGCTGCTTACTAGCTAAGACTTTACTTGTAACAGAGCATTTCCACACAGTGGTATAGCTTATTTTAATTACTGACGATGGATGATCCAAGGTTTAAAAAAACAAAACACAATTCCAGTCGTTTTGCCATTTCTATTTCTTACCTAGAACCACACGCTGCGGTGTCGTGATGGCACTCGGCGTTGGTGGTTGAGTTGGTGTCGGTTCTTCGGCTGGTGTCTGTGGTTCGATGACGATGTTGTGGACGGAACACTGCCATCACCCGTTGTTCGGGAATGTTCCTCCTCACGAGTCCCAATGTAATCATCTAGAACAGCAAAATGACTTGTTAATTCCACAAACTACTGCAGCACAATACTAAATAGCAACAACAACTATAGAAAAGAAAAACTGAATGTAAACAATGGAATATATGGTGTTAGCAAACAATAGCTCTAGCTAAGGCTATCTGCCTTAGCTAGCTATGTAGCTCTTCGGGGCTCCATAAAAGCATGGGTTGTCGAACATTAATGTAAGGATAAAATAGACTTCTTTGTTAGAAGTGAGCGTACCTTGCAGGGACTCCAGTAAAGCCGTTGCAGAGTCCAGGCCTCCCTCCCTCCCAACGTTGGCCGGTAAATCTGGTCCAACAAGTCGAACCACTTCCATTGTTTCCTACCCGCACCCAGGGGCGGACTGGCCATTGGGAATACCGGGAGTTCCCCGGTGGGCCGGCGCTGTGTGTGGGCCGGAGGGCCTAAATCCTACAGGGCCACATTTGGAAGTGTTCCGGCCACTCCCTTTTTTTTTTTTTGCTTACCTAAATCCTACCGGCCCACATTTGTAAGTGTTCCGGCCCAGCCCAGCCCAGTGGGGTGTGGCCAGGGTTGGGTTGTAACGGAATACATGTAACGAAATACATGTAACAGCGTTACGTAATCAGAATACAAAAATCAAGTAACTGTATTCAGCTCGCGTTACATTTGAAAAACTAGTAATCTGATTACAGTTACTTTTGTAAACCTGAAGTGAATACATTTTGGATTACTTATTGGAATTATTGGTGGAAAGATTTCCTCACAACATTTACACCCATGGCCAAAATGTCCTTAAAATGAAGTCCGAGTTCGACATTTTAATTAATGTCCTGCCAACACTGGCAGGACAGAAGGCGACACGCCCTTTCTAAGCCATGTCCTCACATCCCAAGCCGCATGTCCGGTGCCTTGCTCAAGGGCACCACGGCAGGGCAGGAGGTGAACTGGGACCTCTCCAAGTAGAAGTCCACACTCCAAATAGGTCTGGTCGGGGACTTGAACCGGCGACCCTACGGCTCACAGTCCAAGCCCCTACTGACTGCCATAGATTTAGTCCCTAATTTTGCTCTCAAAATGGACCAGATTGATTAATTTAACTTCAACATTTAAAAAAAAATCTTCCCGGGGGAGCTTGCCCCCGGACCCCCCTAGAGGAGGTGAGGTCCACCCAAGCGGCAAACTCTGGGGAACAGCCGGGACGCCAATACGGAAGTGCCACATACTGCAGTTCATACATGGGCCGCTAGGGACTGGCTGCAGAAAGGAGCAATTTCCATAGACCCCCATGTTAAAATGCCCAACTTTACAGCAGAAAAAAACATGTTTCTACCCATGGATACAATCAATATTATTATCGATATAGTTAGATTTCACCTTCATGATTATGAATCTGTGAGTGAATTGTTTTCTAACACGACCCTTTTATTTATATTAGGTCTTAAAGTTGTTGCATAAATTAGGGCGTGGTCACTTTGATGGACATGTATATGCCTCACTGTCAGCTAACAGCAACTTGTCCACTCTGCTAGGCTACAACCATAGAGGCTACAACGTTAGTTAGTCATAGTAGGCTACTGTACTTGACCCTTTAGCTTTAGCCGTGTTCGTGGTGATTGTGCCTTTTCGGGAATATTGTTACAAATACCAGACAATTAAAATGTCGTGCTGTGCGCTTGAATGTACTAACAGAACATCCAAGAAGTCTAAAATGATAATATTATACATGTTAACCCCGTTCGCAGGTGTCTGTGTGCTTGGTAGCTTAGCTTGCTACTCATTAGCCAGCTAAGGACGTAACCCTTTATGCATACAATATACATTTGAGTTTATGATTCAGCCTTGGGTAATACTTTTATAGTCTATCTATGATGCCCATAATGCTAAACGGGAGCAAATGTTAATAGGGGACCCAATTATCCCAGTGGTGGCCGCCGGAGCTAACGGAGCAGCAGGGGGCTAGCTCCAGCCGGCGTCCCGGAGCTAGCCCACTGCGGCTCCGTTAGGTCCGGGCGGTGGAGTCCGTCTTTTCTCAACGTGTGAATGACAAGCATTAAGAATAACAAAATATAGCTAATTCTCTTGCAGATTGTCTCATTTGATTATGAATGTAACGTTTATATAGGGGAACTACACTGTTAGCAGTAACTTGGTATGCATGTATTTCATGTTAGCTTAGCTTCTTAGCCTGAGCTAGCTCTGTTTACTTCCAGTTCGGAGGCAGCAGGTCCCGCCTCGGCTC